CTTACACGTACACAATCCGAACGTCAACAGAAAGAGTAGAAGAGCAACAAATTTTATTTAGTTGCATGAAAACAATAGGCGAGGCAGGTTGGTGACGCATTATTGTTCAATAAAGTAGGTACACTGAGCACAATGAATGAATATCATTCAAAAATTTTATAACAAAATTTTTCGTACATACACCCCTAGAAATAGGTATGTATATGGTACCAAGTCGTGCTTTTTCTTCATATTAAAAGAACTTTGTGAATTATGTATTTTTTTTTTTAATACCAGACTAGTCCTCAATTAAAATATACAATATGTTTTGTTATTTATCTTTTGATTTAATCGTTATATTAAATTGTTCTTAAATGTCAAGTTTTACCTAATTTTAAAATAAATATATATTAGATATATATATTATTATTTTTATTTTATTTCTACTTGAAATCAACGAAATTTTCTTTTAATATTCAGAGTGCTCGAAGCACGTCATCTTTTTTGCTAAGAAATCCACACTTAAATTATAAAAAAATAATAATAATTTTGTACAACGCATAAAAAATTTAACCAACTTTTTCCTTTCTTAGGGCCGTTAACTTTCATCATATGTTTCTATGTGGTTTAGATCTAAAAAATAGAGCACAATGAAAAAACGGCAAAAAAACATACCAAAGTTTTTATAATAAGTAATACAACACAGAAATTTTTTTCCGTGCATTACTACTAATGCATGAATAGAGAAATCGATTAAGCCTTGTCTGCCTGTCCGTCCGTCTGTCCGTCCGTCCGTGTACACGATAACTAGAGCAAAAACTGAGATATCTCAACGAAATATGGTATGTAGGTTTTCGTTAACCCAAGGTAGGTTGGTATTGAAAATGGTCGAAATCGGACTGCAACCACGCCTACTTCCCATATAACGGTAATTTCCAGAAATACGAAAACTGCGATATTTTAGTAACTACTGAAGATAATTCACTCAAAATTGATATTTACAATAATTTTCAGACGAAAAATAATAATATTATAAATTTTGGAAAATGGGCATAGCCACGCCCACTTATGGTTACATATCTTTGTAACCGCTGCACCAATTTCTTCCAAACTTGACACAGTTATTGGCCTTGGTACAGCATACTAAATGGCAAAAAAATTAAAAAATCGGGCAATAACCACGCCCACATCCCATATAACGGTAATTTAGAGAAATACAAAATCTTCGATAAATCAGTAAATATTAAAGATAATTTATTCAAAATTGATGCTTGCAACAATTCTGTACCAAGAATCCCACTTATGATCACATATATGTATATCGGTAACCGTTCTACCAATTTGTACCAAACTCGGTGTGGTTATTGTGCTTGCCACATGNGTTGAAAATTATTGAAATCGGACTAAAATTACGGCCGCTTTTCATATAACGGTCAATTTCAGAAATGCTTGAAACTTCAATGTTTCGAAATTTGAGGACGCTAATTTACTCAAAACTGATACACCCCGGCTTACCATGTAGCGGTAGCTTTCGGAAAGGTGAAAAAACATATATTTAATACTTGCGCCGGGTATTTAATGTTCGGCTCCACCCGAACTTAGACTTTCTTACTAGTTTACTATAGAACGCACGAATTACTTCAATTTTTCACTTGAAAGTACACAATACGTTTGCAATTGTTTCTAAACACAAAGTTTGTTTACGTATTGCCATAAACGGCAAAGTCGGCAAAACCAAAGTAGCGGCTTCGGGAATGCGCCACCTTCAGTTCATTACACCATGCAGTTCATACTATCTACCACGATGCAGCGAACAAAGGTTGCGCCGTCAGACATACCGCTACTTTGGTTTTGTCGATTTTGACAATTCTGGACTACAAGTAAACGACGCCGCAGAAACTTTAAATACACTGAAATTCACTAATATTTGAACAAAATTCACTTTTTTTCAAATTTTTCTAATTAATTCTTATTGTAAATTATATATTTTTACAATTTAGCACAATTAAAACACGTTTACTGTCGAAAATTGAATATTAGGAAAATCTGCTCTTCTCACATTTTCTTTTCACATCGAATTCGGATTTGTTTACTTGTGGTACACAAATGTCATCGCCGCCAGAATGGCGCAATCTTATATTCCATCATTCTTGACTTCTTTGAAATTCATTGCTGTAGTAATTTTTTGTTGTATGTGCAACCCTTCTAATGTCACCTTCTTCTCGCTCTGTTCTCCACGTCGAAAACCTTTGCATCAGGGATGGAATTTCAAAATTTCAAAATTAGCTTAATGACTTTCAAAAATAGTGCCGAAAAGAAGATAAAGGTGTCACAAAATTAAAATTGATTTTTCTAAGGTATTTTAAGAACAATATATTTTTAGAAGTAGTATTTTTGAAATACTCTGAAGTAGTATAATAATTATTAATTAACTAAATTATTACAGTAAATCTCTTTGATGAAGGATTCACTTAGACATATGTACACTCTAAAAATTTCATGTAAAACTATTACTAAAAAGTGTTTCAACCAGAATCTTTGTAAATATAAGCCTAAGATGCTCAAGATTTGATTTTTAAACAGGAAGTGTTTAAAATATACACATAAATATGGGCATGAAATGATTAAAATTGCAAACATATTGAACTTAAAAAGATATATTCTACTACACTGGACCACAAATTTCAACTTTTTCTCTTTACCAGAAACACCGTTATGAAATTCTTATGTAAAATCACCCCCTGATTCCGAAAATCAAGGTTATTTTTAATTCTATGGTACCGTTTTTGAGATATTTGCAATTTACCGTTTTTGCAAAAAAAAAAAAATTGGGTCCACTTTATCATATATATCTCAAGAACGAATTAAGCAATTCCAAAACGGTTTGAAGCTTTTAAAAGGTAATAAAATTTTCTATAAACTGTGCATACAACACTTTTTGCTAGGCCCTGTAGATTCAAAGAT